CCCCCCCCCCCACGCTGGATGGCACCAAGAAGCGGGTCCTTTACATCTCAAAACTCTACAACAAGATTGACCCTGAAAAACGCACAGCAAATTCCCACTTCATGAAAGATCTGGGATGGACAGCCTGGACCAAGTGGAGATTATCATGCGATGGAAGACGAATTCGGGTTTGAAATTCCCGACGTGGAAGCAGAGAAGCTGATATGTCCTCACGAGATTGTAGAGTACATTGTAGATAAGAAAGATGTGTATGAATAAAGCGCGTGTCCAATGAGCTGAGTATTTCTGTTCTGCCCTGAGGGCCTGGATGGTGTGCGCAGGAAAGGGGGGAATCTGGCGATCAAGACACACGGACCTTTTGTGCCCCTCACTGCATCAGTCACCGTTGGTCTCGGACAGATAGTTCTGCCAGCTGCTGTATTTAATGTTGTACAAATCTATGTTGGCCTTTGAAATAAATGTGAGGCTGTTAAAAAAAACTAATAAAACAAAACCATTGCTGTCCACAAAGGGGCACTCTTTCCCACTGCTGCCCTTGCTTGGCTGCTTTTTTCTCATGTAATTTTGTATATATTCATGAAGCTCCCTATTTCATCCATCTTTTCTTCTCAGGTTAAGGATGATGAATGCAACCCTTTTAGTTCTATTGCAGTTAGTGAAGATGACAGGACATGCAAGGAATTCTAAAAGCAATGGGAAGGAAAACAAATGAAATTGAGATGAACTAATTCAAATGATTTGGAGAGCTGTAAAACATTATGTCACTGAGGTCCATTCTACACTTCCATATGAAATCCAGATTATCTGCTTTGAATTGGATTATATTGCAGTGTAGACTCATATAATCCAGATCAAAGCAAATAATGTTTTGTTTTGCTTTAATAAACTCGATTATATGGCAGTATAGAAGGGGCCTGAACTGTATAAATACTATAAAATCTAGCAAATCCCTAGTTATGCATGTTGGCAATATGAATATGACTCTGAAAAGCATTAGCAGTCTTGTTCATATGTGTGAAAAAGTGTCCCTGGTACATGGGCATTATATCTTTATACATCTGTCCCAATTAAGCTCTCTGGTAAAGTTTATGGCCCATCGTTCACTCTAAAATCATATGCGTGCTGGGCTTTTAAAAAACCTAATATTTTGCATCACTAGATTCTAATAATGCAACTCACCAGCTTCATCTGATATATTTAAAGCCCTGCTTTATACCAAGGTGGGCAACTGTGGGAGGCGATGGCATCAGGGTATGCCTACACATCAGACAAATCCTTAAGTGCATTGCAAAATCAGGTTTTGCTTTTGGGGATTTTTTCCTGAATATTTCTGAATCATGGTTGGTTGAAACTGTGGGTGTGGAACCTCTGGATAAGGAGAGCCAATTGCATTACCATAACATGTGGTTGCCAAAAGTATATGAGATGGGGAGAGAAGTTTGCAGATGCAGATACATATGGAAATAAACAGGATGCAAGTTTAATTCCTTTTAACACTTTATACTTGACCTTGGCATTCCCACTACGAGAACATTTCTTCAGTACGTCTCATTAATTTCAGCAAAACAAACTTCTGAATCACATTTTTAAAATTCCCATTTTACTCCAAACTAGCATGACTATTTCAGAGACCATTAACAAAATGTATTTCCTATGGAACTCACAACTGTTGTAGTAAATTGTTTTTTAAAAAATAAGGAAACACTTTAAATATACTTGCCTGGTTGACTGTTGGATGTAACACTCGAAGTCTATATATAGCAGGGTTTGTGTTCTTTTAAAACAGTTTCCAGACATATTGAAACTGGAGGGGGAGGCAGTACAGCATGTGACCATCAGGTTCAATCAAGAGAACCTTGTCTTAAAGTGGGTTATTTATTTAGGTAAGTTAGTTTTGGCCACCTGGGTTTCATTTCCTATCCTTATGATGTTTAAATCTATTTCTGTAAGAGATGTGCAGGTCAGAAAGAAAACAAAGACAAAGACATGAGTGCACAAAGAAAGATAACAATGGAAAAAAGTATAAGCTATATTCTGGGGAAAGGCAGAGCATTTTTATACTACAGGAAGCTTCTGCCCATGTTGAGAGTAACCCAAATCATGCTGCTTGTGCCATCTGTTCAGACCAGTAGGAGGCAGCATAGGGTAAATAAGTGGATAAATGCATGATGAGTCAAGATGGCAACTAATGCAGCAAGACATCTAATGATGTCTCAAAATACCATGTGTTAATAATATGCTTGCAAGTACAATTCAACCCTATAATCTACAGATTTGTTGTTTTCTTTATCAATACTATAAGTACATATGACTTTTAGTATTATAAATAATTACTAACACAACTCGTAAGTGATACTATGTGGCAAATGGTTCACGTACAATACCCTTACAAATAATCTGTACTGTAGGTTATTTCTTTGTGTTACAAATGAGAGCCACCATGGTGTGGTGGTTTGAGTGATAGATTAGGATTCTGGAAACCTGGATTTGATCCCCTCTTTGGTCACTGGATAACCTTGGGCTGGCTAGTCACATTTTCTCAGCCTCAGAAGATGACAAAAGCAGTTTCCCTCTGAACAAATATTGCAGAGAAAACCTCATGATTGGGTTGCATTAGGTTTCTGGTACATTTATGCAACTTCTGCCTCATGTCTTAACCCACAATTCCGCTTTTAGTTACCAGGCAAAAGCCCAGATAACATTTTTTAAATAATTGCTTTCTTTTTGAAGAATGCTATTAACTATTATAGGCTAAAATACTTTGGGATACTAGAAAAATAAATCAGTCTCTCTGTCTCTCTTTCTCTCTCTATGCCCCCAGTAAGAAAATTAGCCTGGGATTGGGATCACAACCTGGATGAGGGTACCCTCTCTCAAAGATCTTAGCGTGTAGATACTCTTGGACCCAATGCTGTCCTTGCTTACTTAGGCGATCCCTCGTTGGACGAGTAAGATGGTCTTCCATTATGGATTTCCTTGTGGGTCCGTATGTGGCTGTGGAGCCCTATTCTTGCTCTGCATCTTCTTCCGCAGTGAGGGCATTGGTTTCCAGGTGGAAGGCTGTCTCGGTCGGGGTTGGCTTGACGCACCTTCCTCCTGGCACGTTTCTCTTTCACCCTCCACTCATGCCTCCTCAAATTCTGCAGCACTGCTGGTCACAGCTGACCTCCAGCTGGAGCGCTCAAGGGCCAGGGCTTCCCAGTTCTCAGTGTCTATGCCAGAGTTTTTAAGGTTGGCTTTGAGCCCATCTTTAAATCTCTTTTCCTGACCACCAACGTTCCGTTTTCCGTTCTTAAGTTCAGAGTAGAGCAACTGCTTTGGGAGACGGTGGTCAGGCATCCGGACAACGTGGCCGGCCCAGCGGAGTTGATGTTGGAGGACCATCGCTTCAATGCTGGTGGTCTTTGCTTCTTCCAGCACACTGACGTTTGTCCGCTTGTCTTCCCAGGAGATTTGCAGGATTTTCCGGAGGCAGCGCTGATGGAAACGTTCCAGGAGATGCATGTGACGTCTGTAGACAGTCCACGTCTCACAGGCATAGAGCAGGGTTGGGAGGACAATTAGCTTTTGATGGGGTGTTGGGATTTAAAACAAGCACCTTGGATTCAGTATCCCTAAGGATAGAGTCACCTGCCGTCCCCTTCAAACACTCTCTGCTTCATTCTGGAAAATGCTGCACTTGCAGAGCTCAGGCGGTGTTGTATTTCGGCGTCGATGGTGACTTTGGTGGAGAGGTGGCTGCCAAGGTAGCGGAAATGGTCCACATTTTCTAATGTTACACCATTAAGCTGTATTACTGGCATTGGAGAGGGATTGGCTGGTGACTGCTGGAACAGCACCTTGGTTTTCTCAATGTTCAGTGACAGGCCGAGCTTCTCGTATGCTTCTGCGAAGGTGTTTAGAGTGGCTTGTAGATCTTCTTCTGAATGCACACAGACGACATTGTCATCAGCATACTGGAGTTCTATAACAGATGTTGTTGTAACCTTGGTTTTGGCTTTCAGTCTGCTGAGGTTAATAGCTTGCCATCTGTCCAATAGATGATTTCCACTCTGGTGGGAAGCTTCCCATCAACAAGGTGAAGTATCATAGCGATGAAGATGGAAAATAAGGTTGGGGCAATAACATATTGCTGTTTGACACCTGATTCCACCTTAAATGGGTCACTATAGCCATTTCTGTCCAAGACTGTTGCCATCATGTCATCATGGAGGAGCCGCAACATGTTCACAAATTAGTTTGGGCACCCGATTTTTTGGAGGATGGTCCAGAGAGCGCTGCGATTCACTGTGTCGAATGCCTTTGCAAGGTCGATGAATGCCATGTACAGAGGTTGGTTTTGTTCTCTGCATTTTTCTTGGAGCTGTCGTGCAGTGAAGATCATGTCCACGGTTCCTCTGGAGGGGCGGAAGCCGTTCTGGGATTCTGGGAGGGTGTCTTCTGAGAGGGGCAGAAGGCGGTTTGCAAGGATTCTTGCGAGGATTTTCCCAGCGGAGGTTAGAAGGGAGATACCTCGATAGTTTCCGCAGTCTGTTCTTTCCCCTTTTTTGAAGAGGGTGATGATGGTGGCGTCCTTGAAATCTGCTGGGATTTTCTCGGTCACCCACACTTTTTCTATGAGCTGGTGGAGTTGGTGTGTCAGCTCAGGTCCTCCCTCTTTAAAGATTTCAGCAGGGATCCCATCTGGTCCACTGGCTTTGTTATTCTTCTGTTGGCTGATGGCATTGCTGACTTCTTCCAAACTAGGCAGTGCTGCAAGCTCGTCCCTGGTTTGTTGTTGCGGGATTTGTGAGAGGACCTCTTCGGCCACATTGGAGCTGCTGTTCAGTTGTCCCTGGTTTGTTGTTGCGGGATTTGTGAGAGGACCTCTTCGGCCACATTGGAGCTGCGGTTCAGGAGGCTTTGGTAGTGTTCTTTCCAACGTAGTGCAATTGAGTTTTGGTCCTTCAGGAGTTTGGTTCCATCTGATGAGCATAGAGGCTGTATCCCATGGTTTCTTGGTCCATAGATGACCTTTGTGGCTTTGAAGAATCCCTGAGCATCATGGGTATCTGCCAGGTGTTGGATTTCTTCAGCCTTCTTTGTCCACCAGATGTTCTTGAGTTCTCTTGTCCTTCTTTGGACCTCAGCTTTTGCACTGGCATAGATCTTTTTCTTAGCAGCACAGTTGATGTCTCTCTGCCATGTTTGGAAGGCTTTCCTTTTCTTGTCAATTAGCTGTTGGATCTCGATGTCATTTTCATCAAACCAGTCTTGATGTTTCTTGGCTTGGTATCCAATAGTTTCTTCGCAGGCTTGGATGATGGAGGTCTTCAGTTTGTTCCAATGTTCCTCAACATTTTCGGGGTGTACTGTGGGTAGATGGTCCTTGAGTGCTGTTTGGAGATGGGCTCGTCTGGAGGGCTCCTGAAGGGCTTGGGTGTTCATTTTGTGCCTTGTCTTCCTTCCTTGGAGTCTGCGCTTGGGAGCGATCTTGAGAGCCATCGAGGATCGAATTAGTCTGTGGTCAGTCCAGCAGTCGTCAGCACCTGTCATGGCTCTTGTGAGGAGCACGTCACGGCGGTCTCTGGCGCGTGTGATTACATAGTCTAAGAGGTGCCAATGCTTTGACCGGGGGTGCTTCCATGATGTCTTGAACTTGTTTTTCTGGCGGAAGAGCGTGTTGGTGATGACAAGGTTGTGTTCCGCACATTTGGTGAGAAGCAGGATGCCATTTGAGTTGCTGTTTCCAACCCCGTCTTTTCCGATGGTCCCTGGCCACAGGTCGAAGTCTCGCCCGACTCTTGCATTGAAGTCCCCCAGGAGGATGATTTTGTCCTCCTTAGGTATCCCCGATAGGACGGTGTCCAGCTGACAGTAGAATTTCTCCTTGATGTCTTCATCAGCATCTAGTGTTGGTGCATAGGCACTTATGATGGTTGCCCGTTGGTTTTTGGCAAGATCAATTCGGAGGGTTGAGAGTCGTTCGTTGATGCCAGTGGGTGCTTCGGACAGATGTTTCACCAGATCATTCCTGATGGCAAAGCCAACTCGCCCGAAAAAAAAAAAAAAAAAAAAAAAAAAAATGAGAAAAAAAAAGGAAAAGAGAAAAAAAATTTCTGATAGCAAATCCAACTCCGTGCATTCTTTGGTCTTTTTCGGGCAGTCCCTTCCAGAAGAAGGTGTAGCCTCCCTTTTCTTCCTTCAGCTGTCCCTCTCCTGCTCTCCGGGTCTCCTGAAGGGCTGCTATGTCGATGTTGAAGCGTCCCAGCTCCCTTGCAATGATGGCAGTTCTTCGTTCCCAGTTTTGGCTGGTGAACCAGCTGCACCCTTATCCTTATACAAGTGTAGATGTCTCTTAGCTTTCAACACAAACAACAAGATCCAGACCACTGACTATAGAAGAAGCAAACCTGTTCATTTCCATAATCCCTGCGTTTAAAGTTTGATTAGTGTAGTGGCTTGCAGACACAGAATGAGAAAGTGGAGTGGAAGTTAAAAGCATGTTAAGTGTATGGATAATTAGCGTGCACAATCAAAAGGGGAAATAAGCTCTTGCAATGTTGTAGTAGCTTTCACTTCCTTTCACTGGATTTTTTTTGAAGTCACAATCCTCACAATAAGCGAAGCTAGTTCAGTTTCATTTGTGCAGTCACCATCATGGGCAACTGGGTGGAAAATGAGGGGCTCTCCATATTTGTCATTGTAAGTACAACAACCATGCATTTTTAAGTGATTTTCAAATTTTGTATTTGATTAGTTTTATGAAAAACTCTATCCCTTAACTTCTAATTTTGGGATATCTTACTAGCTTTTAAAACATTGTATTAACAACAGAAATGTTCTTGAAAGTCAAGCATCAGAAGGTGTAGTTATTGTTTTGTGCCTTCAAGTCATTTCCGATATATGGGAATTTTAGGGTGAACCTATCATGGGTTTTTCTTAGCAAGATTTGTTCACAGCTAGTTTACCTTTGTCTTTCTCTGAGGCTGAGAGTACTACTCATTAAAAATGAGTTACTCCCTTAAGGAAATGTGTATTCCTTGAGTTTAGTCAGTTTGGTCCCAAATGCATAACTAACAAAATGGTTGCATTCTGGAATAGGTAGGAAATGAGATGGATACAAACATCATAGCATAGAAAAACTGCTGAATTCTCTGGGTTCCTTGTTGTGCATTAGATTAGAGCAGTGGTTTTTAACCTGTGGGCCTCAGACCACCAGTGGACAATTCTGCCAGCCAAAATGAAAGCTCTGCATTGAGCTCTCTTATAGCTGGTCAACTCTTGATTTGTACAGTCTGGGGTTCATGAAGTATAGTGAATAATTTTTCTTGTTCGCTATTTTGCACCACCTTCTGTTTAGTGGACCATGATGCTGTTTTAAAGCACAAACCAGAACCTCCCCTATGTTGTAAAAACCTGGAAATAATTTCAGATCATATGTTTCTTCCTTCAGTTTGTATGGCTGGGTTTAAATGTCTTCCTCTTCTGGTGGTTCTACCAAGTATATGATCTTGGGGAACAGTTCTTCTACACAAGAGAACTTCTTGGGGTAAGTGCTAGATCCCTATTTTTCATATACAGTAGAGAAATAAGATTAACTTCATTAGTCAAAAGAGGAGGACCCCCCCTTTAGCAAACAACGGATTTTCTGAAATGTTGCAACTTTGTGTCAGACTATTATTAAATTCAGCTTTCCTGTTATGTTTCTTTCTGTTCACTTTTAAGCAATCCTAAAATATCTGTTGGGTGGACTTCCTCACATTCACATTTCCCCTTTTTTTCTCCCACTTCTTATTAGATTCCAATGTTCACTTTACCACTTCAAAAATGAGTTGTTATTTGGAAAATGGTTATGACATAATGACTCTACTAGCTGCCAATTAGTTTCTGGAAAAGTACAAAGTGTTGGATATTACTTTTAAATCCTACACATTATGGGTCCAAGTTACCTATGAGAATTTGGGGATTAGAGTACAGTACACTGGTTGGTTGCTTTCAAATTTGGATTCAACCACAGAATGATGCCTGACTTACCTGGAAACCACCAGTTGGCACTCCATGCAGCGGAGTCTGGCAGGGCAGCAGCCTTAAAATCAAAGAAAAGGTGAATGAGCAGTGGTTAGATAAATGCTATGTGAACTTTTATAATATGGGGGGAACGGCAAAAAGCAGTGGATCCTCACATTATCTAAATGGTCACCATTATATAACTTGTTTGAGGATGAAGAGGAATGCTGGCTGAAGAAGTTGAATAGAGCAGGATTTTAAGAGTGAAGGATTTATATAATAATGGAGGAGAATTGATGGATTTTATAGAGTTGGTGGGAAAATGTGGAAGAGAAAATTGGTTGAAATTGAGAGCACTATGGGAAATTGTTAAGAATGGAGTAAAAAGAGAGGAAAATAAGTTAGATTCCCTGATCAGACAAAGGGAAGAAGGTAAAAAAAAAAAGGGGGGGGGAGCAGGAGTAAAAGAAACAATGCTTAGAATGATAATACAAAAATGGAGTAAGGAAAGCATACTTTCAGAGGAAAAGATAATGAAGGGGGTAAGTACCATTAAAATGGAAACGTTTCAAGAATTAGTAAAAAAGATTTATCTAAAGTGGTATAGAACCCCAGCTCAGCTAGAATATATGATAAAAGGGTCCAGCTCAAACTGTTGGCATTGTAAAAAAGGGAAGGGATGGTTTACACATATGTGATGGGAATGTGAGGAAGTGCAGAGATTCTAGAAGAGGGTATTAGAACAAATAAATGGGTTATTCAAGGTAAATTTGTACATTGGGTCAGGACTGTTGGAAATTGGAACATTGGGCCTACAAACACTGAAGAAAGAAGACCAACAATCTTTGATGGCGATGGTTAAAGCTGCCCATCTTGTAATAGCATTGGGATGGAAGGATTAAAAAATTGACAATGGACAGATGGAACGAATAAACTTATGAACAAGTACAATAGGATATTATGGGAATAATGCAACATGATATACCATGGCCTATAAAAAATACAAAGAATCAAAGAGAACTGGTTAAGATATGTGAAATGGATTGAAGAAGGGAAACCTAATGTTCAGATAAAGGAGAAAATGGACAGAATCCTGGAATGGCTACACTTAAAAAATGCTTTGTTGTAAAGTTGGAGGAATGGGGAGGGGAAAAGGGGAGCAAAAATGTAATGGTTTATGAATGTATATAAAGTAAGTTTATTTCAATGGACTAGATGGATACCATTACAATAAAAACATTAAAAAGAAAGAAAAATGCTATGTGAGCTCCCTGATCAGATTCATCCCAAGAATGCAATTCTTTTGGATCCTTCCCTTTCTCATATCTATTAATGGTAATCACAGGGGAGGCATATGTGGGGCTGGCCAATGAAGGAGAATGTTTTGTGGAAGAGCTCACTTAAAGTTGATTAAACCAATCAAGTGAGGTGTTTTTTAACCAAAATTATTTGGTCCCTGGTCAAAGTGTGGTTCTGGTCAAGTGGTCCCTGGTCAAAAAAAATGGGAACCACTGCTGTATATTAATGTTTACCAACCCAGGGCTCCCAAAGTGCATTGGACTTTGGTTTCCATCATCCACCACCCAACATGAAAGTTTCAGTCCAATCTATCTAGAATGGAGCCCATGTTATGTTAGACTACTATATGCAGTCTAATGTTGATTCACTTGGTTCACAAAATTCAGGTCCATGAATCTTCCAATTTTGTCCCAATGCATTCTTGAGATGATGCCTTTTTGGTGAATCACGATGCCATTTGCTTACATTTAGCCATACCTGGCACTGGCCCGGGCACCTGCAGCATGTCTGAATTTCAACTGCATGTTGGTTCTGCTTCCTGTGTGTCGAAATCTGCTCTCCTTCCTCAGAGGCTCAAGTGCGGTAAGATTTACATCTCTCTTCCTGTTTAGTGAAAAGTAACCACCATTCTGTGCAGATAGTGTTTGGTCTGAATTATCCTAATATACCTTGTTTTTGTTTGGTTCATGTTCTATTCTAACAAAGCTTCTCAGAAGATATTGTGTGAAAACCTTTCTGTGTCAAACATATATGTCAACAGTCATGATAGATTCAATATTTTTCCCCTTGGCCCTTACTGTTTCCAAAAAAATGTAGACAAGCTTTCAAAATATCAAGAAGAGTAATACCACTTTTGCTTAACTATAAATCCTGCCTTTCCTAAAGTTTATCCTCTCCCAGCCAGGAAAATGAATTCAAACTGCCTCCAATCACTTATCAGATATAGGAAGGACTCTTGTCAGGGGGCTCTGAACCTGAATGTTTTGCTTTCTGCCAAGAAGGGAAGAGAGAAGACAAATAAGCACCAAAAAATCCCTTGTGGGGCAGGATGGCAGGAGAGTGAAGCCTGCATTGAACACAGAAGGGAAAGACTCACCCAAATATTATCTAACCCATGGTGATTATGGATAGCAGAATCCAGTCCACATCACCATGTTTTCCTGTGCACTTCCATAATATAGTCATAGAGCTGCACTCAAGCATGCCTCCCACATTATTTTTGATTAATTAGTATGTTGTTTTTACAATTCATATTTCTAAATGTAAACTTAAAACATTTTACACTTGTAATAATTGTGTAATTTGATAAGCTTCCTGTCGAATATTGGTTAAGGACTTTAAGATCATTTGGAGAGGCCCTGCTCTTGGTCCCGCCTTGGTCCCGCCTTCGTCACAAGTACGTCTGGCGGGGATGAGAGACAGGGCCTTCTCAGTGGTGGCCTCTTGGCTATGGAATACCCTCCCTAGGGAGATCAGATTGGCTCCCTCCCTCTTGACGTTTTGGAGGCTAGTTAAAACATGATTGTTTGAGCAAGCATTTACAAATGCAGAGTAGCTAATATAGGAAATCGAATGACTTGATGATGGAACAGAATAATGCTGATAATAAGGAGACGCCAATGTTGTTGTTTTTATTGCTCTTGTTGTGTTTTATACTGTTTTAATGTCTTAGTTTGTATTACGATTTTATGTGTACTGATTTGTTGGAAATCACCTTGAGTCGCCCATTAAAGGCTGAGAAATACAGTAAATAAATAAATATGTAATGGTAGCTTCAGTTACATACTGTAGCTGCTTCAGTTGCATACATCTGAAGAGATAAATCTGGCATATAGTTTCACCAGCCAAAACTATCTAGCTCAAAGTTAATAGTGAAATTGGAGCTACCCACAGCAGAGAATATCATACCATTCAGTGGCCTAAATAACATGTCTTTTGAGATGTGACTCAAAAAAAAAAACCCGCAATGTATGACATGGTGTAACTTGAGTGAACATAGAAAGACCCTTCAACATACTAAACAGAAAGAAAGACCTCTCAACATTGTCAATCAGAATAGAACACAAAGGGCCTTTCACTATGGTAAACTAAAAGGGTGGTTTTAGTTTCTGATCAGTTTAATAAATGATAGCAGTTTTATTTTCCTCGCTAAATCTAGACTGATACTGTTTTTTAAATTACTTTCAAACTGATGAAAGGGGAAGGGCCCTTTTCTAGACACCTCTAACTAAGCATGTTGCCAGAGTGGGACTCCTCTTGGAGGGGAAGTGGCTGGGAATTACCCAAGATATTGCTATCTTTTCGTTGGGGCATTTTGTGAAGTGAGACAAGGGTCTGGAAACCACTGGGCTGAAGCAAGTGTTCCTTAGCTCTTTGTATGCATTTTTGGCAGGATATTATAGCAAATGGCAAGGAAGTGATACCATGTCAGAGTTTCTTCATTTCTAAGCTTCCACATTTGCAAGTAATTCTGAGTTCAAAGGAACAACTTATGCTGTTACATTTGTCGAGCTGCAGGACGACAACCTTTTTTTGCCTTCTGAAAATAATATTTTAATACTTGACTGTAATATGTGTAAACTAATTTACACCAGATTCATCCAAGCTGAACATGAAACTTTCTTACTGTGAAGAGCTTTAATGAATAGTGGCAAATAAACCATCCTTCTGTTATTTTATGTTAACTCTGTAATTTCATTTCTGCTTTTGCAAATAACATATATTACTTCTGATACATTTCTAAAAAAAGAAAAAGCGGGGATAGCCATTCAGTCAACTGTAAAATGTATTTTCATTCATAAATAAACTACAACCATTACCATACAATATAAATGAAAAAAATTATATTCAGATTTCTTTTTGAAAAAAAAAATCTGCTACTGGTTAGTGCTTGGATAGGGCCACCAATAAATACAGGTACCAGGTACTGTATAATATATTTCAGATGAAAGAACTGGCAAAACCACCTTTTGTTATTCCTTTCCTAAGAAAACCCTATGAAGTTCATGGAGTCATAATAAATTGACAGGTGACATGAAGGGACCCACAGACACAAATATTAAGTATTCGAAAAGGGTCTTACATGGCTTGAAGGATTCTGGAGTCTATGTTCACAAAGTTTTCAGCACACCTTCACACCCAAGTCTCCAAGACTGGTGACATGCCCACAACTCTGTGGATCATTAGGCTCGCTGTATATTGAGGCAAATGTGTTTACAGGGCGTGAGTGAAAGATCTTCTGGACTACCTCTACTCTTCACAGTGGAAGCTTCAGGACAATAAAGTCTTCCCACTCAATCTGGATCTCACTCAGTGGTTGCTACTGGAACCCATGTCAGTGGTGCTCTCAATTGTTTTTATCATTGTTGCTGTGTTTATTTATGGCCCACCTTTTCCCTATAATAGAGACTCAAAGTGGCTTACAATAAAACCAATGCAATACAATTGAAAACTTAAAATATACAAACATTAAAATAGAATTAAATATTAATGGTATTAAAAATATCCTTAAAACTGATTAAAATGTATTCAGAGCTAAAACCACAGCACAGACTTGATCTGAAAACCCCCTTCTTTAAAAGCCTGCCTGAATAAAAAGGTTTTAGTCTACCGCCAGAAGGATAGCAGGGAGGGGGGCCATTCTGTCTTCCCTGGGCAGGAAGTTCCAGAGTCGAGGGGCAGCCGCCAAGAAAGAAGGCCTTCTCTTTCATTTCCACCAGTCAAACTTGCAATGGAGCACTAATCTGTTGTGAGGTTCAGTTTGAACTAAAATAGGTTTTGTACCTTGGGCAGTTCTATTAAAGCTTAGACTAAAACCATGAATATATATTGAAATTAGCAGCCGCTATTGATCAACACATTCTATTTGAAGCCTGTCACATCTTCAGTTTCTAATCATGAGCTTCCTGGCCTGTTTTATTTCCCAATTCTTATTGTTGTCATTCTTGACTCCTGGTTAGTTCTCCATTCCTGTCTCCTAGGTCCCTTCCCATCAGCAACCAACCCCCTGAGACCATTTCATTCTATAATTTCTATCACTTTGATGATACTACGTTTAATTGTTGTGTTTCTATACCATGAAATCCTTGGGTTTGGAGTTTAGGGAAGGGAATTCAGATTTCTCAGCCAGGGAGCTCCTCTAGTGCTTCACCAAACTACATTCTCCAGAGTTCCATCAGATGGAACACTTAATATGGAATCACGCAGCCATATTAGTGTGCTATAAAAGGATGATCCTGTCTTCGCCCTCCTTCCATACTATTTTGCACAGTCCTACTTGAATAGGAATACATTTATTGTTGATGTTTGATAGAATTTTGACCCTCTTTCAGATATTGAAAAAAACTGTTCCCTAACTCCTCCAGCCACAATGCTACCTTTTTAGTATGACTTCTAGAACTATTATGGCCAGTATTTGTAATACTGCAGGATTTGAGGGATTACAGTCCAAAAAAGTGAGCTTTCCATGTTCTGCCCTTTCCATACTTGTAGAAACATGAGAGATGTTTAGCAAATGGCACTTCTGTTTACAACTACAAAAATTAAGTACGTAGTTAGAATTATTCATTTATCCTCCCTCGTGTCAAAATACATGTGGCCAACTGTAGGATTTTAAGCTCCAACATTGCCTTCCTTAGGTGTGCATGCAAATGCAAAACTACAACAGAATGAGTTGTCTTTCTTGACTGAAATCCTGTTTGGTGCAGCTGTCACTTCTTGCTTGTGCAAAGCCTCGTTTTGCATTATTTCACCTTACTTTCTTGGACCAGTGGAGATATCCCAGCATTAAAACAGGAAATGTGATATTTGCAGCAGATCATTGATCTGCCTGACCTTTCAAAACAGGAAGCTTTGAGAATGTTATAAATTTTATTTATACAGACAGAGGCCAGAAGGGTGTGCTTTATCTTTGAGTGCATTTCTACTCCATTAGCTTGTAAAACTCACAAGAAGTGGAAGAGTAATCTTTGATGTCAGTCTCTTTAGTTTAAATATCACTGGGCATGTATTGCAGAAGATAATTTAGTAAACTTCTGTCAGACACCTAAACTGGAAAATATTTTTACTATTTCAGTGTATTTTTATGCTATATAACATAGGTACAATTCCTAGATAAAGTGTGTTGTCATATTAAATAACTTGAAAAAATGTATAGTTCTACAGTTTAAAGTGTTCAGCTGACTTTATTTTAAGCCACTCAGAGATCTTATGAGGAATGATTGAGATACTGAAAATAAATAAGTAAAACAATCCAACTTGATTATAGGAGAAGGTCCAGATCACCTCACATGGAAGAGAACTCCAGTTGACAGCATCTCCTAAAGCAGTAGTTCCCAATCTTTGGTCCTCCGGATGTCTTCTTCAACTTGCCCAACTATTGGGAATTTTAGTACCTGGAGCATCAAAGTCTGAAACCACTCTTCTAGAGGAATCTGACACATGATGTTTACACCCAGTAGTCCCATTCTCTTTTATTTGGTTTAGCAGCTTTATTCCATGTCAGACACCACATGGACCACATATACTGTTAAATTAATATCAAAAAGTGAAAAATCTCAAGTTCTTTGTCATTTGTTTACAGATTACAGATACTATTAAGTGTTGTTTATAGTTGGTGTGGTTTCTTGATTATGAAGAAGTTTAGGAAACACAAAGATATCCCTCTTCTTCCCATCTGAGATGAGAAGAGAGAAAAAGCAGCAGCAGCAGAAAAATGTTGAAAAAGACACTTCTATGCAGGCCCTTAGCCAGGATTTTGATTTGGGGGGGGGGCTGAGTTTGATGGGAGGGGCTGAGATCTACCCTAGCAAACCTTTTGCATCGTTATCCCAATACCCCCATGCCTATGGGATATATTGAACATGGTGATCAGATCATGATATGAATAAATAATGTTCCAGTAAATAATGTTCCAGTAAGGCAATCTCATGGACCACCCTGAGAATTTCAGGGGGGGGGGCTGAAGCCCTTCAAGCCCCCCCCCTCCCCGGCTACATGCCTGCTTCTCTGTGTTATGATGCCTGCCCCAATTAGCATGCTGCTGTCAGGTGATAGGCTGACATTGTTTTGCTCACCTCAGGTGACAAAATATTTTGGACCTTTCCTTATTTAGCAATGATACAGTCTTACCATTTACCCATGGGATATGGCAAGGTAATTAGGGCATTGCATATGCAGAAAATGTTCAGAGCTGAACATACCTATATTTCAGACTCCACTTCCATGCCAAAGGTAATAAAATAGTAGGAACACTTGCTGTTAAGGACTGTTTGAAATTATCACACAAGACTCTAAAAAGAGGGCTGGCATTGTAAACTCATCTAGGGTTTAAGCTGGAGCACCTCAGGATAGCAGATAGCCACTCTTGCACCAACACATCCCCTAAATGCTTGAAGAACCTAGCAGGCACTTTTAACTTGCAACAACTGCTAGGACTTGTCTCCTCCCAATCCACAGGGCCGGCCCGTCCATTACTCGAAGTAAGCGGTCGCGGAATACTTTTTTTGCCAGGGGGCGCTGTTTTGTCCTTAGGCCACGCCTCCTCCTGCAGGCCCCATGCGCCCTCAACAGCCTTCTAATGGAGAAGCGCAGGCCCCGCCCACTACGCGAGAGGGAAGTCCTCCCTCCACGTGCTGCCAGGAGGCAGCCAGCCAGGCTCTTTCGCTTTCGCTTTCCCTTCCCTGCAGCTGAGCCTGGACCCCTCTCAGGGCAGCAAGGAGGCCTCGTCAAAAGGTACTGCAAATGTCATCTTTTGTACATGCCTCCCCCAAACCTCTCTAGTATTTGGTAATGGAAGTCCTATATGCCAAGTTTGGTTCAATTCTATTGTTGGTGGAGCTCAGAATGTTCTTTGGTGCTTGGTAAACTGCAATTCCCAAATGTCAGGGTCTATTTTTCCCAACCCCCTCTCCAGTATTTTCTGTTAGTCATGGAAGTCCTGTATGCCAAGTTTGGTTCATTCTATTGTTGGTGGAGCTCAGAATGTTCTTTGGTGCTTGGTAAACTGCAATTCCCAAATGTCAGGGTCTATTTTTCCCAACCCCCTCTCCAGTATTTTCTGTTAGTCATGAGATCCTGTATGCCAAGTTTGGTTCAATTCTATTGTTGGTGGAGCTCAGAATGTTCTTTGGTGCTTGGTAAACTGCAATTCCCAAATGTCAGGGTCTGTTTTTCCCAACCCCCTCTCCAGTATTTTCTGTTAGTCATGGAAGTCCTGTATGCCAAGTTTGGTTCAATTCTATTGTTGGTGGAGCTCAGAATGTTCTTTGGTGCTTGGTAAACTGCAATTCCCAATGTCAGGGTCTATTTTTCCCAACCCCCTCTCCAGTATTTTCTGTTAGTCATGGAAGTCCTGTATGCCAAGTTTGGTTCAATTCTATTGTTGGTGGAGCTCAGAATGTTCTTTGGTGCTTGGTAAACTGCAATTCCCAAATGTCAGGGTCTATTTTTCCCACCCCCCTCTCCATTATTTTCTGTTAGTCATGGAAGTCCTGTATGCCAAGTTTGGTTCAATTCTATTGTTGGTGGAGCTCAGAATGTTCTTTGGTGCTTGGTAAACTGCAATTCCCAATGTCAGGGTCTATTTTTCCCAACCCCCTCTCCAGTATTTTCTGTTAGTCATGGAAGTCCTGTATGCCAAGTTTTGTTCAGTTCTATTATTGGT